TATATATATATATATAAAACCATTTTACAGCTAAATCAATGGCTCTCCAGATGTCAATGAATTGCAATTTCTATTGCCTTAATTAAGGTGGCAGATGGTAAGTCATACAGTATTTTAATTTAGCAGTATAAGGAGGTCCACTGGTTGTCTGTTTCTGAAGTTCAGTCATTGATATGATTCTTTAAAAATGTTCTAAAGACTTTCATAGGCCTTTAGACAGGGGCAGCGTTTTTCACAGTGGGGGCCCACAATGAGATAGTGATGTCCCCAAATTTTTTCAGAGGGATGAGGAATTATTTTTCTTATAACAACGGAGGAAAATTATATATATATATATATATATTGTGCAGGACAGACGAGAGGGTGGAGTGAGATTAATTCTCTGTTACAGCCAATTTCATTTCATTGCTTGCTGCTCTTAAATGAGAACCTCCATGCTAAGACATCCTCCATTCCAATATACAGGTAATTATTCAGATTAAAAACACACACTTTGTCTTCCTATTAAGGAAATATGATATATTTGAGCCACAAAATCCAGAGCCTATCAGTGCAGAATCAGCCTGTGGTATGAGGTACCTTAAAGCCATAATGGATATTATGAGTCCCCTTCGGGGAAAAGGGCGGCATATAAATGCAATAAATTCAATTCAATTCAATATGATACTGCTGGCCAATGCAGATATATTATCCTTATCACTTGTTCATCTGTGGTGTTATCAATTATAATGATGTAGACTTGTGAACTATATGTTTGTTTGCTAACTTAGCCATTCATGGGATGGGGCCATAAAGAGCTTTGTTTTTGTCACAGATGCGTGGGTTGAATAAATGAGATAATTTATGTGTGTCCTTAGAAAAGCGTTTAACTTAATCTTCTACCATGTGATACGCTTTGGTTAGCAAAGATTTGTTTTCAGGTAAATGCCACTTCCTGTTACTCCTCTTCCTCCGTTTCCTCCTCTGTTACTCCTCCTTTCCTCCCTGTTACTCCTCTTCTTCCATTTCCTCCTCTGAGTGATCCTCATTTCTTAAGGGGTCACTGAATTCAAAATTTCCTTCAATGTCCAGCACTTGCAGATGCTTCAGTCTTTGGAAAGTGCTCTCTTTCACAGTACTGAATGCAATCTTGTTAAACCTTGAAAGGTAAAGGAAAAAAAATGAATAGAATTACCTCCCAATCCTTTATTGCAATGTCCTTCCTTGTCCTATAAACTCTATACTAAGAGAAGGATATCACAAAGTGACTTTTTATAAAGAAAAGGGTTAGTCTGTTTCTCTCCATTTTCTGCTCACATTTCAGTTTTTGGTTTCATCTCCACCCATTCTACGTCTCTTCATTCTTACAACTGTTGTCTTACAATTTCAGGAGATTTCTATATGCATAAAATTAGAAAGATCTAGATACAGGTAATTCTCAACTGATGATCACAATTGAGCCCAAAATATCAGTTGTTAAATAAATGTTTGTGAAGTGAATTTTGTCCTAGTTTATGATGTTTCTTGACAGAGTTGTTAAGTGAATCACTGCAGTTGTTAAGTGAATCTGATTTCCCCATTGGTTTTGCTTGTCAGAAAGTTGAAAAGATGACCATATGAACCCAGGACACTGCAACTGTCATAAATATGAGTCAGTTGCCAAGGGTTTGAATGTTGATCATGTGACCACAGAGATTTTTCACAACGCTCTGAAAAACAGACATAGGTCACTTTTTTTCAGTGAGGTTGTAACTTCAAATAGTCACCAAACGAACTGTTGTAAATTGAGGACTACCTATACTGTATCTGACAAGGATTTATAAGCACAATGAATGCACAATGTCTTGTTCATAAACAATTAGCGCACAGAATGAAACATGCTTGAAGTACAATATAGAGTTCATACATAAAGGAAAATCTTTTTTATATTTGCGAAGCCATTAATATTTTTTCTGGCGACACACCTGAGATAAATTCCCTTGATATTGGGCGTGGAATCAAAGGCATCTTCTGGCACAATGCTGATCTTATTGCTCTGGAGATATAGATACTCTAGAGTTTCTGGTAAGCCAGATGGAATCGAAGTCAGTTGATTGGCAGCCATGTCCAGTATCTGGAAAAAGATCCACAAGAGAATAATTTAAATAATTAACAAAAGTCATTCTGATTTACTTGAAAAGAGTAAATTACTATAAATCCTACATCCTATAATTTACTCAGATCTGTATATTGTAGGTGCTAGGTTTACTCTACACACCAGTGAGCTACCCACACATTACTGTAAGCATCAGTGCTCAATAGATGAACGCAAGCTCTCATCTCTTCCCAGCAAATCCAATATTATTACCTTTGTCACTATATTTCTCATCTTCTCTCCTTCACAGTCACACAGACACACCATCGCTTTCGATATTCCACAATTTCATTTGTCTGTTCTGCAGTATTATATTTAACTTCCTTTTGTTCATTCATTTCTTTCATCCTGGTCAGCTAACATATTAGCAAAGAGGAATCCCAGTTCTTTCACATATACGTTGATTGAAATACCACTATGGAAATGAGCTGAATCTGGATGCAAGGTAAGCTGTACCCTTCCCTTCCTTTGGGGTTGGCATTAACTTCTGTTTTTTTGCCTTCTGCGCCAAAGCACGCGTGAAGCAAACCAGCTGTTTAGCCGGTAGGAACCCACCCCTGGTGATTACATGACACCTAGGCCATTAAACAGTGCGTTGCAATTAAAAACTGTTGCATTTTTTTCCTGATCAATACTGAGTCAAAGGCACTATAACAAGGACTTTAGAAATGCATAGCAGGGCATGTTAATTGCATGGTTAGAGATAGAAATGTCTTTGATTCCTTAATATTCCACCCATCTCAATATACCTGTTGTTGTTTTTAATTCCTCCTCTCCCTTTTGCTTGTCCATACTACCTACAGAACTTCAAATTCTATGTGATAAACTAGCATAATTTTTTTTCATATTGTGTGGTTTGCATCATTCTTTCATTTTATAATTATTCTAGCTGTGGTTTTCTCTGAACACGCACCTTAATTCCCCCCCCCCCTAGATCTGCCTAGTTGAAAGAGTTATATACTATTTTTAGTATTGTTTTTGCGCATCTCTAGGACTCTAGATCTCTGTCTGTTTGTACCTTAAGACTGGTGAGATCTCTCCATGATCCACTGTGAATTAAATTGTTTTTCAATTTGTTGGCACTGAGATAAAGCTCCTGCAGCTTTGACATTCCAGAGAGTGTGCGTTTGGGAATGGAACTGATCAAATTCATTTTTAACTTGAGGCTTTGCAAATTCTTGGGGAAGCCATGAGGCATGGTGCGGAGTTTGTTGCCAGAAAGATCTAATGACTTCAGTAGCTTCAGTTTACGGAAAGACTCCCGATGAATCTGTGAGCTGGTGATCTTATTGTAGCTCAGGTTTAGTTCTTCCATAAAATAAGTAGTGGCAAAATCCTCCCTGCCAATTTCTGAAATCTGATTGTAGAGAATCATAAGAGTTTTTACTCGTCTGGGCAGCCCACTGGGGATTGTTTCCAGCAGGTTGTTATATAAATGAACAGTGTGCAATTTCTTCAGACCATGAAAAGCCAGTGGATGGATCTCTCGGGCCTTGAGTTTGTTATTGTGAAGCAGAAGATATTCCAAGTTTTTGATTTGGGTCAAGACATCATTGCCAATTGATGTTATTGCATTCTTCTCTAAGTGGAGAAGGACAATGTTTCGAGGCAAACCGGGTGGAATCTGGGAAAGATTATTGCTAGACAAATCCAGGTACTCGAGGCTTGAGAGTTTCCTGAGGGGGGAAAAAGGGAATTCCTTTTAAGTGTTTAAGCAGCCAAACACACAGTGTTAGTAGAGGGGAAATGAATAGGTTTTGCCTCTGTTCCTCATCACTGTAGCAATTAGGATAATTATACCTGCAACTATGCCAGACTTTTTTCCTCACATGTACATAAAAACTGTTGCTACCTATAACAGTTCATGATTAATAAACCCCTGTTCAAGAATCCACATGCAGTGATTGCCCCTTTAAAGCCACACAAACAGGGAGTGGTTAAAAAAAAGGTCGAACCTGGCAGCCATGACAGTGTGATCAAAACTCCTGGGTCACACCATTATGGTGTTCAGCTTGAATTTTTTGACTGCACTTTGCAGACACTTGTATAAGCCTCCTCTTATTAGTATTTTGATCTAGGCTTCCCCCAAAACACGAAGCAGATTCCTGGTCCCGACAAAACCCCTTTTATTAAACAGATGTGAATTTCTCTCATTCACATTTAGCAAAGGCCTTGTAAACAGTCTTTCAGAGGTGAAGTTATGACCACAGGCCATATCTAGCTTGGAAAGCTGCCATGTAAATATTTTCCAAATGTAGTGCTGTGCAAGGAAACACTTGGCACAGAGTCTCTGAGATTCATGGACAGATCTTCACACTCCTGAAATGAACTAACGAACTAACAAATTGTTTCCTGCAAAAGCCCACTCCCCTTTCGGTCCTCTTTTATTTCCTATGGGAGGGGCTATTCACCGTCCACCTGTGGCTTTACTTCCAAGTTGACCCTGATTTCTTAGCTGTTCTTTTCTTCTGGCAGCTTTGCGCATGGGCACACTGGGAACAGGCTCCAGCTCTTCCTCAGCCTCACTGCTATGTAGCTCTGAAGGCAGTTGAAAGCTGCCAGATGGCCTTGGCCCCAACTCTGCCTCTGACACAGAGCCCTCATCTGAGTCTTCCCTAGCCTCCAGGACTGGCCCATGTTCCTCCCCAACCTCCGCACTGTCTAACTCTGCTGCCAGCTCCGCTGGTAAGCTGCCATTTTAATCTCCAGAAAAACAAGATAAACATTTAACTAAGCTTGTCAAAAACTAAATCAACCCCAGTTTCCAGTTTGGTATCTTAATCAAAGAATGAGACAAAAAAGGAGTAAAAAATAGTTAATTATGTCTTATAATCAAATAAAATAAATATGGATTCCTAACCCTTTAACAGTTGGGTATGTTTAGAAGAGGAGTCCCATGGTTGTTTGGAACCATGCAAAGTAACCCAGCTGCCATTATCTACTAAATGTGCATCCATTAAAAACTAACAAACTCACCAAAAGGTTTCATTGTCCATCCCCTCATTGTTTAATTTATTGTTCTGCAAATATAATTCTCGAAGATCTGACAGCTCATTGAAAGCTCCTACAGGAATCTTCTCCAATTTGTTATTCTGTCCAGAGACAAAGGGAACAAAGTGTGAGCCTCTTCACTGAAACTTCAGTCCTCAGAGTATAAGAGGGATATTCTAAGGTGGTTGCGGTGTCAGGAAGAGGCCAGAGAAAAAGCCAAATGTGACCTTAAGCCTTAAGGCAGTGTTCCCTATTTGGATGACCTTCGATGAACATAAGAAGACAATCTCCAGAATTTCCTGCCAGATTTCTTCTGTTCTTGAGCTTCTATAGAATATCATTCTCAGGGGTATCAGCAGGAAGGAGATCAAAATCTGACTCACCTCCAGAGATTTGATTGGCATTGTGCTGGTATAGTTTGGCTACTGGCTAGAATGCAACTTTGATATTGCCACTACTTTTTAAAGATTCTATTGGGCAGTTTTCTTTTTTAATTCTTTTATGGAGTTCTTGAGCAGACAATATGATCCATAAATGCAATAGCTAAGCAGTCAATGTATTCAATAATTCAAAAGAATAAGCTTTATAAAGGCTGAGTTTCTGACATGCAATGGAACTGATATTCTACCTTAAGGTGTAGCTTGTACAATGCCCGTGGTAGATTCTTTGGAACATATTTTAAGAAGTTGCTGGACATGATCAAGATTTCCACATTGTCAGAACCGTTGAACAAGTTTTCTGGTAGTCCGGCATCATCAAGTTTATTGTTGTGAAGGTAGACTGACCTGAAAGAAGAAAAAAGATGGTGGTTGGAGAAGAGAGGGAGACAGAGACAAGTCTAAGAATCAAGCCTTTACTGCTTGATTGCTATCTCACAAAGTTTCCTGAAAATGATGACTCTCTTATATCAACTACTCAGTCTAGTTATGTCAGCATCTATCCACAGTCTTCCCACCAGATATAATTTGATACAACTCTTTTAGAACTAAAGTACTCCATTTTTTTTGCAATGTTTCCTCATAGGGAACTTGCTATCGAATCAGTTCAGCTGTCTTTTGCTTCACTTTTTCTAGCTCTAGTCTAAGGGCCTCTCCTTATTTGTCCTAACCTTGGAACCAACATATCCTGGCAACCCTTTTCCTCTCTGCTTTCTGTTGATAGTATTTTCCTTGCATCTCTACCCAGGAGTGAGACAGCAGCCTGATATTGTCCTTAACTGTACTATAGTTGAAATAGCATTTCTCCCTTACTCCATCAAGGACACCCTCCAACTTGATAAAAACTATTTGGAGTTTTTCACCCTTGAGCCTTGATCTCATGGAGGAAAGTAAGACAATGGCTGGGAAGAGGCCATCAGTGCAAGAGTAGGGATCAATGATTAGGACAGGCCTGTCACAATGAGATAAATATTCCCTTGAAACACTCTCCAATCTGAAATTAACCTCAGCAATATATTAGAGAATTATTTTTCTATGTTGTTTCCCCCAGGATATCATCTAAGTTATTATGAACCTTGTTTATTAGATTAAAACAAAAAGGTGAATGGGTCAAGTGCATGGGAATCAAATGTTACCATGGGGATTAAATAACAAATTCTTTCTTGACACAAAACTATTTCAGAATTTTCTGAATAGTAAAACAATAAGTTTTACTATTCACTTAACATCCTTCCAAGTGAAATATGTGGCAATGCAGATGTTTGACTGTGAAAATGACCAGACTGCATGATTTGGGACATGCAGAGGATGATGCAGATGATAAGCTCATTGACAGACCCCAGAAAACTGAAGTTCAATCACAGGCAATAGAAGACAAGAATCCTTGTCAGCCAGTGAATGTAAGCAATGCTGAAATGAGGGTGGGGGGTGGGGGATTTAACATGAGCAAGAGAATTCCCTACATTTAGAGACAGAGATTCTGTTCAACTACAAGCATTTTAAATGCTGTACCTTTCCCATTTGTGATGGAGAAACCATTGAAGCATTTAAGCCAAACAAACGACCAATTGTGAAAACAAATGTAATTACACTTTGCAAGATTTCGGTGTTCTTGCAGGACATCTTAGAAGATATATATATCTTACATATAATGGAAGCAGTTAGCTTCCTCCCATAATTGGGACATACCAGGGGTTCAGCTGATAAGGAGGAGGACCTGTGGCTTAATGGCCAAGACGTCTGCCTAAGATGTAATATAGCACAGGTTCGAATCCCAGTAAGGGTATGGCTAGCTGATGAGAGCTAAATAGCTTGAAATAGATCTATACTAGTCTCCCTTTATTTATTTATCAGCACAAATATAAAACAACACACACACACATATATGACACCTGATTTAATTTATTCTTCCATCCAATTTGTAGTGGCATATTTATATAGGAAACCCAAATATTGCAGCAAATCTCCAAGCTCTCCTTTCTAAGCTAATCCAATATCCACTCAGAGTCACCTGAAGCATGGGTAGCAAAGAAATTTGATAAATAAATAAATAAAACATGAATAAATAAAGTGTTCCTAGAATTTCTCACCTCCCAGAGAAACAGAGTGCATGCAATTATTTATCTTTCTTCTTTGACCTGCCTTATTCTTGCTATTGAAATATGTGCTTTAATAAAAAAGCTACAAGAAAAAAAAATAGCATCCCATGTGCATAATAAATCTCAGAACTAGCAACATTTTAATTAACAGGTCTGTTTTCTGAGAGATTTTCTAGTGCAGTTGCAATCTGCATGCAAGCAAGCAACATCCAGTCAAGATGCTAACATAGATTTGTTTGTTTGAATCTCTTCCTCTGAAAGAAATATATTCTTACAAATATTCATTGTATGGCTTTACATGCTGCTTCTGCTGTTGCTGTTGCTGATGATGATTCTTCTGCTGCAGAAACAGAGTCCATTAACCCCCCCCCCCCGTCCCGCAAAAACTCTTTTTTTACCTCAGGTTTGGTTTTTGTCCAAAAGTCAGATCATAAATTTTGGTGAGATTATTGGCGGCAAAATCCACACTGATCAAAGCCTGTGGAAGGAACTTTGGAGCCATTGTGAGCTGGAAAAGGAGAGAGAAGGCCAAAGAAGGAAATAATTGTGAGAGATATAAAGGCTTCGAGTACACTCATCCTTGAGTTTTCCTCAGAACATTAAATGGCTAATAGTTCCAGTGAGGAAAGGTATTATGACAGATACCATAAAATTGCTTCAGATCTCTCAGGATCAAGGATTTCTACCTTTCTCTCTAATACTAATAAATACCAGTGTGGAATTCATTTAAGCTTTCACTTGGAAAGCCATGCTTATTGGACTCAACAGATATATAGGAAGCACAGATTGGAAAAACAAATATATTTTGCACAGTTTGTATGTCCTTCCAGAAATAGTTGAGTCTTCTTTCTTGGGCAAGTCCCAACAAAACCAAGAGCTTGGGAACAAATCCTCCTAAACATTAATTCCACAATCCCCAGCAGAATGTAATATAAATAGGCCATTTTTTAAAAAATATTTTTTAGAAGACTGTTTTTCTGGTTACCTTTGAGAACCACTGAGATACTTCTGACTCTGTTGTAACCCTGTGGAGATGTAATGGGGAAACTATGCTGACTATTTAACATTTATTTTGGGCACATTGTGCACTGGACATTGGATGGGGGGACAAACTGATAAAAGAAATGCATTACATATACAGAATGGCCTTCTGGTATTATTTTGCTTGGCAAAATCTATTTTTTTTTAAAAAGAAAGAAAAAAAAGTTCCTGTAATATGGTTTTGTTGCAAGATTGCCAAGGTCAGCTGGCTGATTTTAATTGATATTTAATTGATAACCATTTACATAGTATTTCATGGGGAAATATTACTTAATTAATTTCAAAATACACCCAACAATTACCGCAGATTGAAGGAGTGTGATAATTGATGGAAATAAAATTAGGAAATGGAAAGAGTGTGTGTGTGTGAGAGAGAGAGAGAGAGGGAGGGAGGGAGGGAGGGAGGGAGAGAAAGAGAAATACAGGAGGGAGGGAGGGAGAGAGAGGTAGGTAGGTAGGTTTAGAATTCTGTTTGGGAGAATTTCACCCACCAACATTTTGCTGCCAGCTCTACCTCAATCAGAGAATCCCCTACCTGGAGAGGCATCAATTTTGGAATCCAAATTAATTGGTTTTACTTGTTAATAGTTTTTTTTCCTATGTAGTAGATAAATGTCAGGCCAAATGGCTTAGTCATCAGTGTTCGCAAGATGGAAGAAATATTATTTTTGAAATATATTTATCAGTATTCAACTAGGGGAAACATTTTATGTTTGTTTTTTTATTTTTATTTTTATGCACATTTTTTGCGTAGTCTTGGGTTTTGCTTTTGTATTTTGCATTTTAATGTTTTTAATAAAAATTAAGAAAAATATACAAACTGGAGGGGAGCACTACAATCAAGTCATGTGGACTGAGAGGTTCATTCCACATTATCATCCAAGTTATTCATGAAAATTTTGAAAAGTACTACCGGTACTTGTAAATATCCCTATTCACCACTGCTACATTTTCTTTGATATGTCTAAAATTCCTGATGTAGCTTTTTAACTTTAATCTAAATGTTTTTATTTTACTGTGACACCCATTGTTAGAAAGCCTCATATGTGGTTTTATAATCAAGGCTAGGCATGTAATGATTCACTGGGGAGGGCAATAACTTCAACCTTTTCCTATTGTTCTGCTGGAGATGGTTCAGCTAAAACCTGAAAATATATTTCAGTCTTTTAGTCCTGAATATGTAAAGCCATATTTTTTGTGGGTCTTTGACATTTCATCAAATACTTTTTAAAGCAGGTTTGCTTTTATTATTTGGATGCAGTTTTCTTTTGCAGCACCAACGGCACCAGGAAAAACCAATGATAGCTATTCTATCTCAGGAAAAAAAATTGGACACAAAAGTTCTGGAATATTAGTCATAGCCTGGCTTGGATTTAGCTTTTATGAAGCCCTCTTCACTGCCAAAAGTGTTACATGGAAAATTGTTGTAAATGAAGAAAAGGACACGATGTTACTGGATAAGCAGTTTGGTACAGCAACTCAACAATAACAGTGCACATTATCTGGAAAAAAAACCTGAGTTGCTGAACTGTCTCTTTATATGACAATGGCTATCCAAATTCTTAATTATTAGCTAACAGCAAATACTATAGAACAGTGGGGTTTCCAAAGAGTTATGGAGACTCATAAATGAACTCCAAAATTAAGAATGTCCCCTTCACTTATCACTGAGTTATTTACTGACCAAGCTAGTATATAAATCAATTAAATAACATTAACAAATAAAACAAAACTCTTGGGCTAGAGTAAGGAGGTTTGGCCAATGCAGAGCTCTAATGGAGACTGGTAGGAAATTAGCTAGTGAGGAACAAAGAAAATGTTTAGTATATATTTATTAAGTGAGTGATAACACAAAAACTTAGTGCTAATGATAGAAAATTATAGAATATTAGAAATAGAATAATCATATTTTAGGCCCTGAGCTTTCAATGTGATGCTTGTTTTTCCACATTATTGTAATTAAATATTTTCTCTTCATAGAGCAGTTTTGTGGAGGTAACACTAGCCGTATGCTGATCTAAGATCAAATCATATGATTCAAATATCTGTGTGTATATAACTTCATTTCTCATAAGGCAAACAAGTTTTCAAATAAGGCAACAGTTTTTTCCCCTCTCTTGAAATTCCCAAGAGAGAATTGTGGCTCCTTTTTACTGGATGCTTTGAGCAGAGGCTGAACAGCTATCTGCTGGAAATGCTTTTAATCAGATTCTTGCACTCAGGAAGGGGTTGGATTTAAATGTCTAAATGGATCTGTTGATTATTTCTATGATGCTATCAAATTAATGGAATATTTTGTGGTCAAGGAACTTGGCAATACAAGCTATCTTCCAAAATTGCAACAATTGTTAGGTGATTATTTGAATCCATTTAAATAATGATCTAACCCATTCTCTAATTTTGTAATGTTCTAATTCAAATTTGTATATAACCAATCAATGAAGATCCTCAAAAACAGGAGGAACAATATTAAATACAATGACTTGCTCTCTGAAAGATAATATAAATTTCATCTTAATGTCACATACAGTACATTTAAAGTAAAGATTTTAATAGGAGAAAGAAAATATTTGCCTTTTATCATATCCTCATGAGTTTAGAGAACTATTTGAAGAAAAATCTGCAACTAATATGGTTCCTATAAGGAAAGCTACATACATTTTTACTGATAATATATAAAATCATGGCTATGTTTGGGTTTGTTCTTTTATGTATAGGTAAATGTATATTTATCATTATGCAAAAGTGTGTCACATAATCCCTTCAATTTCTTTATATTATTAATAATTTTCATAGCATTATGTTGCCACTATTGACTAGCTCTCATCTAATATTGTGGTAGTTTCCCTTAATTCCTCAAACTTCAAACCCACAAAGTTTTACCTGCCGTGGTATTATATTCCAGTTTACTTTCTTTTATTCTAACTGGGGAATATGGGAGTCACAGGGCTACATGTTGGAGGACACCAAATTGGGAGAAATAGCAACTCTTGAAACATTTGCTAACCTGGTTATTTGCAAGGTACAGGTAATTCAAATTCTCCAGCTGGTCAAATGTATTCTCTGGAAGCCCTTAAAAGAATATGGATACAATATTTTGACAATTAGTATCTCACTGGTTGTAACTACTGCAAGTTTTACCTCATAAAATATTTTATGTGTGTTATAATATAGGTTGCTGCTGGTGTTATTTTAAAACTCCCCAAAACACAGATTCACATTTTCAAAAAGGTGATTTTAATTATATACTTTGGGATCATCCAAGCAGATACTCCTGGTACCTTGACTATTTTGAACAGCAAATTCCTGCGTTAATTGATATTAGTGAGTTGTGTAGAAGTTTAGACTATTATCCTGATTAGGATAATGGTAACCACAGTCCTAGTCCTTACTTATCAACTATTTGTTCAGCAAATGTTCAAACTTACAGCAACAGTGAAAATAGAGATTTGTGACTGGTCCTTGAAATTGTGGCCATTGCAGCGTCCCCATAGTTAAGGGATTGCAATCTAAATGCTTGGCAGATGGTGTGCCATTATGACAATTGCAGCATCATGTGGACATATTATTGGCATTTGCAACCTTCATAACAAGCAATTAAAGTCAATGGGGAAGCCAGCAGGATTTCACAAGTCATGGTCATGTGACATTACGTTTGATGACTCACAGTTATTTACTTAATAACTGCAGCCTGAAGAGATGGAATAAGCTTAAGTAGTTACATAACATCACACTTAACAACCGTACTGCTTAGCAACAGTGTTCCTTGACCTGGTCCCTATTGTGGTTAATAAGTGAAGCCTACATGTATAGCCAAATGGTTCAAATAGTATAGTTTGTTACAGAATAGGAACAGAGGATTATCAATCATTTAAAGGCAATCAAGATTAAAGATAAAAATCCCTGAGAGGAATTTTTGAAGTTCTCTGCCTCACAATTAGGTACATTAGAGCAGAAGACTGAGAATGTTAGATAGATACTATCTTCCCAATGCTGATGAAATATTTTTTATTTAAAGCACAACATTTTCTTCCAATTTTGCATCTATACAGACATGATTACTTTGCTAATTTTGTGCCAAGAGTGGTTGGTTTTTTTTCCTCTTTCAACCTCCCCCTCCCTTTTTCTGAACACAAATAAGTCCTTAAGATTTAGAAAATGCATCCATTAAACTGATAGTTCAGACTACAGTAAAGCTCCTCAGGAACATAATCATTTGTGGAGGGTGGGGGGAACAGGGGCAGGATATGAAATATGACCATTTTCTCCCTGTAATATTATCTTTGCTGGCTGTTATATTTACTTTTAAGCTGTTTTGGATTTTCCAGCTTACCTTTGGATGTGAGTCTGTTGTTTTGTAAATTCAATGTTTCTAGCCAGGGGAGACGTGCAAGCTGTTCTGGAATGATTGTTTCTATCTGGTTGTTCTAAAAGAAAAGATGCATTAAAAATAAAAGTGATTAGCCAAAAGCATTTGATCCCTAGTTAACTTCATTGCATAAGTTTTCTTTTGAAACAACAGGATCACCTGACTGGCAAAGAAACCACTCTTGAATGTGGTTATGCAGTAATACAAGTAGTCTTCAACTTATAATTCTTTTAGTGACTGTTCAAAGTTACAACGGCACTGAAAAAAGTGACTTACGACCAGTTTTCACATTTACGATCGTTGCAGCATCTTCATAGTCACATGATCAAAATTTTGTTACTTGGCAACTGGGATGTATTTATGACAGTTGCAATGTCTTGGGGTCTGTGGTCACTATTTGTGACCTTCCCAGCCAACTTCTGACAAGCAAAATCAATAAGTGGGAGAAGTCAGAGTCACTTAATAACCCCAATTCACTTAACAATTGCAGTGATTAGCTTAACAAATGTGGCAGAAAGCATCATAAAATGGGGCAAAACTCTCTTAACAACTGCTTTGCTTAACAATGGAAATTTTTAGTTCATTGTGGAGGGCATTTGTTCAATTTTGGTTGTGTATACAGTAGGCCTATTAAAATAGGGTCAGGACTGAAAGAATTCCTCTGAATCCACTCAAAAGCTTAGACATAGCCATTAATTATGTTGATATTGTTGTTATTCCTAGTGATTTGCAGCACTTTGGATAGGAAGGTTAGAAAAATGCTCTGGAATATGTGGGGGTGAAACACAGCATCAATCTGCAGTTCCCTAACTCTGAAATTTTTCCCAGGATTGGGCAGGTGTTCTTCCACTCCAGCTTTTTGTGTAAATGCTATGAAAACAACAAGTATCTAAGATCAAAGTGTACTTTGCTAGATAAATAGATTTTACAGGTAGTCCTTGACTTATGACCACAATAGAGCCCAAGATTATGTTGCTAAGAGAAACATTTGTTAAATGAGTTTGCCCCATTCTACAACTTTTCTTCCCACAGTTGTTAAGTGAATCACTATTGTTGTTAAATTAGTCAAACTGCTGTTAAGTGAATCCGGCTTCCCCATTGACTTTGCTTGTCAAAAGGTTGCAAAAGGTAATCCCATGACCCTGGGACACTGCAATGGTCATAAATATGAGTTAATTGCTAAGCATCTGAATTTTGATCATATGACCACAAGCATGCTACAACGGTTGTAAGTGTGAAAACTAGTCATAAGTTGCTTTTTTCACTGCTGTTGTAACTGAGAATGGTCACTAAACAAACTGTTGTAAATCAAGGACTTACAGTAATTACAACTAGTCCTCTTTATCCACTGCCTCATTAAGCGACCAATCCCAGTTATCGACAGTGATGGAAAAGTAACTTTGCAATCAATCCTTGCATTTATGACCTTTGGAAGATAAAGCAAACAAAAGCTTTTTTGTTTTGTTTGCTAAAAGCAAACAAAACAAAAAACGAAATAAGATCATAAACATATCACAATTTCCATTAGCGACTGAATTGTTGGTCCCAGTTGTGGTCATTAAACAAGGACTACCTCTAATGAATTCATGAGTGACCCAATAATCGGTTTTTAAAAGTCAGTTACAAGTTTTGCAGTGAACAACTATTACAAAGTAATTAAGGGACAAAGGGGCTTGCCTTATCCAAGAGTTGTCAGTCCTTGTTTAGTGTTCCTATACCTGTAAGGAAAGGTGGCTTGTCATTTCTGGGACACCCATGGGGAATTCTTTCAGTGAAAATCCACCACAATCCACAATTCCTTCTGAGGTGCATGTGCATTTTTTCGGACAATCTGGAGCCCAGGAAGTATCTTGATGATTGAGCAGCTCAGGAGAATGTTCTGGGAACTCGTTGCTGTCTTCGTTGTTCTGGCCTTGAATCCTGCTGGAGTTAAGTACCAATAGCCACAGCACAGGAAACAGGAATAGGAACTTCAGGTACATTTCCACTGAAAGCAAGGAAATATTACAGTGTATTGGGGATCGCTGCTAGCTATTTTTCATAAATAGACACAGTCTTCTTTAATGGCAAAACATAACACACACAAAAAAACAGAAAACCAAGTGGGCAAACCTTATTTACTCTCAAGGTTCTGTAAGGGGACTACAAAATCTGCCAATCAAATTTAGAACTTGACCTTTTCAAAATAGAAAAAAGAATATCTATCTTGTGTATGTATGTATGTATGTATATATATATGTATATGTATATGTATATATATATATATATATATATATATATATATATATATATA